CATATCCGTGACAGCCGCACATTATTCCGTTGCGTAATATCCAGAGCCATTTACGACGGTGCGCAAAAGACGCTGCTGCGTTCGACGATTGCGAGTAGAACCGGCTATGCTGTTCCATCGAAACGGGTAATTCGATCGAATGTTCGTGTTCGTGGTATACGGGTTGATCACGGGACAATATGTCACGAAGTACCGCGAATAGGCTGTCCTATTCCAGGCATCTTCGAGCACCTCTCAACGCCGTGCACTTTCGGGGCGCGTGCTCTGCCTCTTCGGGAGGAGCAGCATGCATCTGTTACGAGCAACTCCGAAATTAAAACGTTAAGCATCGAAGGAACAGGCCGGTATCTCGAGGACAGAAGGCTGCTACTTAAAAACGTGGCTTCCAATTTAATATCAATTCGAACCACCACGGCCCTCGAGAACCAGTCGGGGTACCGTTTTTATTTCCACGCGACAAATACCGCGTCGCGCTTAATCGTCGATAAAACCAGACGGGACGTGAAAAAGATGGTGGAAAATGGCCCAGAGATATCCGCGGAGAGCGTGAAAACGTCGGAAGAAAGTGACCCTCTGCAGGTGTTAAACTTTCATAGGATGTCGGCCCATTGCAGCCAGTCGCTGACCATAAAGTCCCATGTGTCGCTCCAACGACGTTCATGAATTTCATTCGCGATACTATTTTGAAGTATCTACACGAGAGAGAGAGAGAGAGAGGGGGGGGGGACGAGACGGTGGTATCGATTCTCTTTTTCGCGAGTCACTTCGACGGACATTCCAGCCAAAAAGGGGCACGCGCGAGGTACCTAGCCAGGGTACCGGGCAGTTGCAGATATTTCGGTCGGTATGACAAGCAGAGGTACTAACGGACGCTGTCGCCGAGTTTGAGAGACGGTTTGACTTTGCGTTGGCAAAGTTGAAACGAAAGGTTTCCCGTTCCGTCGGACCAAGGCTCGAGCAGCCAGAGAGACCAGGGTGTCCCTGGGTCTTGGCCTGGGGACGTGCAAAAATACAGGTCGAGCGGTCTCCGGCGGAATCGTAATTAGCGACGGGACCGATCGGTATCGGGTCCCCCCTCGACTCTTGGTAATTTCGTCGGTGCGGTTACAACGGCCGGGAATTAAACGCGTACCTCACAGTTACATTCGTGGAAATGTCAAACGTGTGTCGCACATTGATCGACTCGCGCTCTTCGAGCCATTCGACACGAAATAACTCTTCGCGGGTTTAGCATTGACGTTATCGATTCGCCGGGCATAACTTCCGTCTCTAGCCACCGACTGCCGGCCATACCCGTTCCGGAAGAAACCCTCGAATGAATTTCACGGGGCTGCGACGAGCGACGAGATTAACGACGATCCCCTGTTCTCCAGCGAGACAAACCAAACGAACGATGGATCTATAAACCGAAGACGGAGATAACGGGTCCTCACGATTTTCCCGCTTTCTCGCTGTCGATTATATACCCGTGCTTCACGGAGCCGTTTGAATTTCAATAACGGATACCGTGGGTCAAGATAAAGCCCGTGAGACGATCGCGATGAGGAACGATAGGGGATTTAATCGCGTGCAAACGCGACACGGTCTCTTTCTTTCTATACGTATATTTCTCTCTTTTCCTTCTCCCTCTCTCTCTCTCTATCTTGTTCTCTCGTTGAATATTTCATGGCAGGGAAACATGAAAACGCTTTGATCTTGAACGTTGCCGGCTATCAAGCATGGTAAAGAACAGTGATATATATTTTTTTGGCCCCTTTGGCTGGAAAACACACGACGAATTGAATCGGGCTAGCGAGCACGCGTCTATAGGAATGAGACCGAGAAATCGAGTGGCATCTGTATGCATTATGGAATACGGTGCAAAGGATAGAAGGCGGAGAGGCAAAAGGTGGTCGCATTGGTATTCCAGCTCCGTGGATTTATCCCTGCTCCGTGGCTAACTTAATCAACATTAACAACGAGAAAGACCATCCCTTTTTTGTCAGTCCCCCGCCGGCCGGAGGGGGGCAAAGATGGAAAGAGAGAATTAAAACGCGGACCCCGCTGGAACAAGAAACCCTTTGCCCGTGGCTACACGTAAATGGAAACGTTTCCTCGTTAAACCGTGCGACCGCCTTTCGTTGCGTCTTACTCGAACCGGCCGCGGCCAACACGCGAAAATGCTAACGGCGTCGATACACGTTTCAATGTTGACCTGTGGGACCGTCCGCGAGGTTCCAGTCTGTTGTCATTCGGTCGCCGGGTATTTCCCGTTCATCGATTTCTCAGAAATGGAACGGAGTTCTAGAGGATTGTCGCGCGCCATTTCGACGAAAATGGCCACGGGTGAGGTTCGCGGGAGGACGAAGAATTCGAATTATACGATCCCATTGCTCCTGTCGCGGGATTCGTATTTCAACGAGGTTTTACAGTTGCTAACTGCTGCAAACTTAATAATAGATAGCGAGTTCGCGAGAATGCGCGTGTCGGGGATAATAATAACGGTCACGTTGAAAGCACTTTCGCGGACTGATATCGTTCATATTCGCAGAACAGATACCTCGGCTTTTGCACTTGAAAATATTCTTCACGCGAAAGTAGGATAAATATTGCGACGCGTGAAAAGTCTGGCAATTAGGGCAAGATAGGTTAGGATAACAATGGCGGCGCCGAAATCACGGTATCGAGCAAGATATCGATCCATCGGGTAGAACGAGATAGAGAACGATAAGACGATTGTTCGAGAAAAATAAATACGAGAGCTCGATATTCCGATCATGGTAGGCCGACGTACACCGTGTGAAAATATGATTGGCATACATGCATATGTAACACATTACGCCTACCGTTACATCATCTGTGAGCATGTGTTCTCAGCAGCATGCTGTGCTAGCAACCGTGGAACGAAGGTCACGAAGTGTAGTTGACGTGACAATGACCTATCCTGTTTGTCACTGCTAACGTCTATATTTCCCAGGATTCTCGCAAATTATTCGTGACTGCGCGATAACGGATATAAAAATTATCATTCGCGATGATAAGCGGCGCATGAGTCGGAGTTAGAAACAAACGGTATTCGAATAACGACACATGTAGGATTATGCATTTTTAATGCCTCATTACAGGCATTTTAAACGAACGCGACGTACAGCGAGTAACAACAGCGTGTACCGACATTTTTATTTATAAGTGCTCCGTTCCCGATACCGTTCGAAGGCGGCTTTAACATCCATATTCCAATTCGTCGTTTATGCAGTCGAATTCTACGTATGATTCATGCGATCGCGGTTTATTGTTTGAGCACGGTATATTGCCCTTCGTAACTCCGATATCGCGGTATACCCTGTGTAGCTATGCGATAGATAACCACTCCGAAAACATTTCTCCAGGCGAGAGATATAAAGCGTATCCTTAACGAGATAAACCGACGATTTTCCCAGCTCCACAAAAGCACGTGTACGTGTTTTGGAGCGGGCGAGAAATATTTTCCATCGTGTACGAATAATCAATTGCATTTTTGTAATTATCAAAAAAAAAAATAAATAAATAATTGGAAAAAAAGAAAAAAGAAAAAAAATTGAATATCGGAATAATTTAGTAATCGGCGATGCATAAGCATCGATGTATTTTCTCGTACCTTCGAAACCCTCGCCGGGTACATTCGGTTAATAACGTTAACGGTAATGGCCAGGGATCGATTTGTAGAGAACGAAAACGTGGCTGAAAAGAAACGGTGGAATAAACACATAGGAGCCGTCGGCCAAAGACTCCTAAGTCCACAACGCGTTGGAGCACAGTGCTGCTATTATCTGCTCTGTTTCTCCCAATATCTCATAGGTCACGGTACAAAGACGAAACTGCCCTTCAAGATAATCGCGGACAGCGAGCATCGCGACAACGCCTCGTCTCGCGCTGATAACGCGATGGAAATTATCGACCCCGGTTCACCGACGGGGGTTTGTTTTGAACGTGCATCCTCGCGCACAGCCGTCGCCAATAACGACGATAGAACAGGCAAGCCTTTCCACGACGGTGGCGACGGCGTCGTCAACGATTCCGAATCGTATAAAACGGTTAGAGAGCACACGTACGAGATAACAGGTTGCTGCCGAAACGCGAGCCACGTATCGAGCTAACGTGCGTTTCGTATTATACACGACACGACCACGACACGAGACAATCTCCTTCGAGAGCGCGCGCATCGCCCATTGTTTCGACGCGGTGGCGGTGATATGGGTAAAAGCGACCGGATAAATGGCGACTTTCCCCCCTCCGCTGTCGCGGCCGCCTCACGGGTTGTAAATCTCACGCGACACGCCGAAACGCACGCGTTCGTCGTACGGGTATACGAACGTTCGAGTAACGGAAAAAACGTCAGACAAAAACTGAGGCACGTTCGGCCGAAAAAATACCTCGGCCAAATGTAATACGTAAACTACTCACCCTGTGACTAGATTCCTCGAGTCGCTGCCTCTTGGAGTGTGGTCCGTCTCCGTTGAACGCCATCCTGGGGCTCAGCACCGGGCAATTACTTTTAAAAGCGGGACACTCGGTGCTACGACGACACGTCCGTGTGTATACCGCGCGGCTCTCTACCGTGTCGACGATCTCGTGCGCGGGCGGGGGAGGGGGGAGGAAGGAGAAAATAATCGGTAGGACACGACGCGAACGCGACGAGAACAGACAAACGCGCGAGAGCGGCTTAAGGGAAACTGGATCTCGATGTTGCTGGAGAGGAACGTCTCTGCCCCTAACGAAGTAGCCGGCTACCGCAGCGCTATCTACCGACGCCGCTATTCGAATACTGACGAATCTTTAAGGCGGAACCGCGCGCACGCGCTTCTACCGTTTGCCCCACTCTCCGATTGGTCCGCCTCTCTTTGCTTGCGACGCATATTCGAACAGTGAAATTACCATTAAATAATGAGTCAAAAGAACGGTTACAAAGCACATCGAAGTTTTTAGTGCGGTTTTTAAAAGTCGTTACGATCGCTCGAGGAAGAGGTAATTGAAATACATTATTCATCGACAACTGTAATTCAATCATACTGTCCAATCAAAGGCACATAGTAATCTGGAACGACTTTGATTCGTGGACGCGGGAAGTGCGATTGCGAGAACATTTATAGTGATCGAAGACGGATAAGTTCAAGGTAGGCAGGATTTATCGGAAAATAATTCAAAAGACGGTAAATCGTTAGTTATTTTTCCTAGACATTAACACTAAGTTTCGTGGTGACAGTCTACTATCGAACACTGGTTTTAGCGTTGGGATCAAATTTTTTTCCGACAGGAATAAAAATCTGTCGTAAAGTACGATAGTTTCCACTAATGGCGCCAACATCATTCGAAGCGATCCGAACACTATAACTTGCTGCCATCGATTCAAAAAATCGATAATTTCTAAATTATTAATGTCGGAATCTTGTGGCTGCATATAAGCCTCAAAATGCGTAGTAGCTGTATCGCAATACCTAAAATCATGAAAAATACGTGTATATATTTTTTCGTTCGTTACTATCTGTTATTCGACTTTCAGTTACGAAATGTCAGTCACTTAACTGTTTGAATGACATTCCTTTTGATACTTTGACATTCCTGAATTGACAATGACGTAATTTTTCACTTTTTTTCACTAAAATAGTTTCTAAAGCTGCTCTATAAGTATGCACCTGAAATAAATAATTTAGTTAATAACATTTTATTCCTGCACGTATATTTTTTCTGATAGACTTAACTATTAAATCTTCATAATTTCCATTCTTCAATTTGTCACAATACTTTTCAATGGCATGACAAGCTACTTCTAACGATGTATATGTTAGAGAATGATTTTTTCGGGACAACAGGTACTTACTAAGTGGATAACCCTTTAATCCACTTATTTCTGATCTAAAAATTCGCTATATTATAAGATGTAGCAAATTTAATAAGACTAAATCGTATAAAAAGTGTACAAACTGTATTGTTAGTTTCATATAACAACACCCTACGATACAAATAAATTTAGCTTCATTTCTAGACGAGTAAAGCTTTAATAGTATGGAAGCTAAGTCTCCACAAGGATGGAGACCTATAAGACCAAATTCGGTTTCTTTTTCGCTTAAATCAAACTCATTTTGAAACAATTCTTTCAATTGCCTAGCTAATTTCGATTCGACTAAACTCGAGGATTCTAATTTAGCTGTGAAATATTGAGGACATTTTTGATAGTAGTTAGGTATGTGTTTTTTTATTGACATCAACAATTCTTGATCCCATTTCCTGCAACAGAAACATGGTCAGCATCAATTGTAATGCTATCATATTATAACAATTTGTATACCTAGCTTGCTGTAACAATATACGATCCTGTTCGATACAAGTAACATTTAATCCATACTGAAAGGCTAAAGTACGAGCTAAGTGACCCATTCCAGATCCAATGTCAACGATACATTTACAACTAGCTTTGTAGGCACAACCTACGCATACCTATAAATAATTACAATACAGTACAAACCATAAACATGTTTTTAAAGAAAAAGTAATACCATACTTGAGCTATCTCACGTATCTCGTATCTTTTCTTCTTTTTTATATGCTTTGAAAATAAATTACTAAATTTGTGATCTTGGGAATATAGCTTGTCGAATATGTCAGTTTTAAAAGCTTTGCTAGCATTGTCGTTATTATTATTATTGTTGTTGTTGTTTGTCTTTGCTCTATTGGATTCACAAGCTATAATACTTTTTGGATCTTCATTATTTCTATTGACTTGCAAAATATTAGCCACTTGGCGAAGTGCAAGCAACGTTAAGGGCCATACACGTGTGCTGTAACACGATTAAAAAAATGTTGTGTAGCACTCTCCGAAATATTATTATGTTCGAACAATATAGTATCAGTGCTCACCACGAGATGTCTCCTGATAACCATTTACCAAATTCTTGAGGAGGTGTATCCTGCAATGCAAACCTCCAACTTCTCGGTAATTTTTCCCATAATTTGTCTTGAAAAAAATCCTGTATCAAAGAGAAAAACCACCTATAGAGTTTGTCGAAACTATCACTGGATGAAGGTAACAACACGCGTTGTAGCATCTAAATAACACGTACGTGTAACTATATCGAATTAACCGAAAAAAAAATACAACACAGTAGCCCAACACAAGCAGCTGGTGCGAGATTTATTTTTAATGCTACGTACCACGACATGAGAGTCCAATAGCCAACCGTATATATCTAAAACGCAAAATATTCGATCAATTGTGACACGAATTCTGGTACAGACTCTACATGTGCACTGAATGTCTGATGCGGCCATCATTGCAGTGAAATAGCCGCGTAAATTTGACTGATCGCTGCACGTGATTCTAATTTCATCGTAAGATTATCGTTCCTAACATTTAAAAATTTCATTCCTGTAAAACTAAAGTTCATCCGTAAACATTTGCTTATCGAGAAATAACCTTTATCGCACGTTTACGTAAAATCAACTTGGTACGTCTCATTACCACAAATACATAACGTATTTATCGTTAGATAAATTCCGAGTTATTTACAATACGTATTACACGCTATGCTGGGTTTCAAAATCTGCTGTGTACGACAGAAATAGAAAGTGCAGTGAACATAACGCCGACTACGGACACTTTTTGTTTAATACCGCGTATACTATCTAATTATATAACGTAGTTATGAGGATATACATAGGTGCGAATGATACAGTCAGCAGAACAAACTTCGCTAAAAGGAAACTCAATGACAATAAGAAAAACGCTAAACTGGCGAATGCAAAAAATACCGAGGTAATCGATTTAGTTTTTTGCCCGTAGGCAAGATATACTGAGCAAACGAGCGCAGGAAATGATCGACCAGATCGAAAGCAATTTTCTCACAAAGGCGCGTAAAATTTTAATATGTCAGCCAAGGTCTTATGAAACGACGAGCATCTTCCGCCGCTTCGATACAAAAGGCAGGAAAAAATGAGAACCGTTTGTTTGCTTTATTTATTAATTAAAAGATCAGATGCTATTCTTGCCATGTCCCACTTTACAGCACTTTCACTCTTCAACAGTTACGTTATTGCTCATGAGCGCACTGCTCTCCGAGAACTATATACCTACAAACGGCTGTAGAAGGAGAACCGTATCATCTGCCACTCTATATCCCTGGACTTTCATGAGAACCATACACCCAAGATTCGTGCAATCCTGTCTTAAATGTTGTTTCACAAACTACTGTTGCAATTATTGCTAAACGCTATGATAACACTGTCCTTTTGCACCTGCTTCATTTATTCGTCTCCGGTTCAAGAACGAACGTTAAACGTTGAACAATTCCGTATGAATTTCTTCCGATTTACAAATTTTGTTATTCTACATCCGCATTGGATAATAATTTAGAAATTTTACACCTTTTTTCTCCGCGGATAAATAGACTTTCGAGACGAACAATGTGACTGTACACGGTAGGAAACCGCTGACCATTCGATTCTTTGCTCATCGTGTTCGAATCTCTTGGTTATTTGGACCTCTTACGCCAACGTAAGTGAAAGTTTTCAAGTAGGACGAGCGAGACATCGGATCTCGTCGGTGCGTGGATATTCGCTAAATGCTCATCCCCGTCGGTTACCGTGGTCCATCGAAATCGCTAAATGTCAATGTACTCCGACGGTAGCCGGACGCCACCTCTTGTCTAATTTCCAAATCATCCGACAAACTTTCGAACCCGAGGAGAAAACGCTTTCGTTCCGTTGTATCTTGGAATATTAAAGCCGACGTATCGATATCGGCGAGGAGCAGAAAGGCCGTAGGGGATCGTTTCAAGTGAATCTATCTTGACTGCATGATAGATCATTCTGGAATGCGAGTTACGCAAGTATGAGAATTTTGCATCATCAGAGCTTTTGCAACTAAGGGTTTTACCAGGTCATCCTCATTTAACTGGTATTCTAGATTTCTGCCTTTCACAGCAACTGAACGCGATTTATGGAAAAGAGTGCACGCGATCTTTTCACGTGGGATAAACTTGTTGGAAAATCTCTAACTGTTTCTATTACGGAGAGGAAAGATACGTAATCGTTGCAAGACTAAAACAAGGCATGCGCGAATGAAACGTGACGAAAATATGTAGCAATCGCATTCGCTAAGGATTTCTATTCAGGAACGGATATAGTTAATTACCGGTAGCCATTTTTGCAAAATTTCTTGTCGACTAGAATTAAAGTCTCGTTATGAAACAAAATAGAAATAAGACATCAAAGAATTATCTTCGTTCGTTATACGCTTCGGCGTAACGCGCCTGTAATCGTGAGAGTAAAATCGATGGAATCGCGAGTGGTGGAGTGAGACTGGTTGTGGGGTACACGACAAAGTGATCACAGAAATTCACTTATCGCCTATCGTGGAAGAAAGGTCGTTAGACAGACGCAGGAAATGATTTGTTGGGAAGAAATCGTTCACTCGGAACCGCTTTAATCTTTTAGCGAAAGTAATGACTAGTGTATGTAAAGCGTACACTGGCGCGGCGCACGCGTGTGAGTCGCTACGTTCCTGGACAGGTAGTCTTTCACCAAATAATTCGGTGTATACCATGCCAGTCGCGGACACGGCCTTCTCCTAGAGGAAAGGTAGGTTTCGGTTTCGATAGGCCTTGGAGGTCGACGGAAAAGTGACGCTCGTTTAATATAATCATCTTCCTTTCCTTTCGATCGGCAGACGGATTTAAAGAAAGTCGACAACGGCTTCGCCCGCTTCCCCTACCCGGTCGTTGTCTCTCCGTGTCTCGAACCTTCTTTTTTCTTTTTTTTTTCGTCTTGAACCACGTCTGTATGTTCTGCACGCGAAGGCTCGAGACGTTGCCTTACACTAGCCACGCGAAGTGTATGTAGCCACCAGAGCCAGAGAAAGGTGCCCCACCGTATTCGATATTAGAGAGGAGCTTCTTGAAGTGTCCGGTGGTGGTGGCATCAGGTAGGGAGAAACGGGCCTCTGGGCCCAATCTGTCCTCAGTTCCCGTACGAAGCTCCATTCAATATCGTTCAGTACATGCCCGGTCCTACGGATATCATGTTGCCTATCGCGAGTTAGCCGCTCTTGATAAAAGTTAACACGTGAAGCCGGTGAAGTGTGACTCGACCATCGAGAAAAGGGCCCAACTAGCAACCGATTCGGACACGCCATGCGCTTCCTTAAATTGGTAAATTTCACGAAAGATCGGAAACTTGCGAAAATACTACCGGGAATCGGAGAAACTCTCGCCCGAGAGTGCCGTGTTAATAGGGTAGATAGCTGATTTCAGAGAACGCGCCCGCTTGTACTTTCATCGTAATAACCATGTCTCGTTTCGTAGTTGCGGGGAACGTTCGACGCGGTTCTATCATTTGTAATCAGTCAGCGTATCGCCTTCGGCTACTTAGCAAGGGAAAGTATATCGGATTAGCAACAAGTTTATGTATACTTAGTTAACAGTTCGTAACGCGGATTTATTTTTCCCTAGCAATCTACGAATCTCGCGTTCCATGAAAAATTCGAACGTGAGCTCGCGTTGGAATTAAGAATAACCGTGCCGTCCGATTCGCTCGTTGCTTAACACGAAGACCACGTATATAAATTTCATTTCATCCGCGTACGTCGGGGACGAGTTTTCTTTTTGTTCGAGGAATATTAAGAAGTCCCCGCTTTAGGAGAGTCACCGAATTCTCGAGGTGAAACGCGCACGTCGTGAATCTAAAACCTAAATTTTCTCTCCTTCTTTCTCTCCATGGCCATGTGAAGCAGCGACAAGAATTTCTGTTCTATTCGCACAATTTAAACTCGAGAAACATCCTATATCCGATACGTGCTGTAACTCGGCCTCGCCATATCGGGAACACGATCGCGACTGGGAATCGCTTATCAGGGTAGCAGTAACTGTCCATTCGGCGACGCTAGAATACCAATCGATTGGCCTCTTAAGGTCTTACAGGATGCTTCTTCTCGTTTATTAATCGGGTCACTCGGTTACCCACGCGCGACCAATGTTTCCACAAATGCGTACCGCCTTTGTACACGCACGCTTCCCATTGGTTCGTCTGGTTTCGATGTTCCGATACAGATTCACCTTTCCAGATTGCCGTAGTGGCAGCGATTTGCGTCGCCGCGACCTTTGCCAAAGATGAGTCCTCGAAAGGTCGCGATAAGAGACAACAGGTTGCTTTCTATCCAAGGAGAGGAGCCAGACCGCCACCCTATGCGGTCCAAATGGAACCGATCGTTCAATATTCCCAGAGAGATCCGCTCTACAATCCCTTGGCCAGCTCCAAGAGCGACGATCTCTACGAAGAGGGTCCACTGAATTATTATCCTACCGAACCTGAACCGATCATCGAAATTATCATCAAAGAATCCAACGACTCTCTGCCAACACCGGTACCTCCACCTCCTCCTCCAACCCCGAGACCCACGAAAGAGCCTATACAAGTGTTCTACGTGAAATACGAGAAAAAGAAGGGCTACGGGGAAAAATCTCGAGTCGTCTACGAGCCACCCGTGCCCGCGCTGACACCTGTCGAGGAGCATGAGGAGATCAAGCCAGATAACCCAGTGCCTTATCCGGAAGAACCTGTTCACACAGCGACACCGGCACCGGCTGAACCTTCTACGACTTTGAGAGCGATCATTCGACCCGACAGTGAAGTGTACCACTCTGGCTCTAGCGGTATTCGCGTTACCTTTGGCACGGAACAAGTGCCACCGAACAGTCACAATAAGCGCAGCGATTTGGAAGCACCTCCTACCCAACAACACGCCAAGCCAACTTCCTCTCCTCCGGGAGCTCCTAAAAGACAGCACGGCCCGTATCAGCCGATCCAACCGGTCCATCAAAGAGTACCACCAGCATTGCCTCAACAGAGAATCGCGAACTCGTTTCCGCAGCAACAGGCGCTCCATCAACCTCTTCAGCAACAGCCGCCTATAAATTTCTTGCAGCAACAACCATCATTTTCGCCGCCACCGCAAGCGAGAAGTCCGTTACAAAGACCTCAGCGCTTGCCCATAACGATCCAAGGCCTACCAGAAGTACAACAGCGAGCACCGTTCAATAGTTTTGGTACGCCTCATCGTGTCAGCATTAATCATCCACAGCAACCAGGATTCCCACCTACCCTGTCGGTCTCTCATCAGAATGTACAGATACAGAGTCAACCCTTGCCACTGAATCAGGCCAGTCCCTTCAGCGTGGAGCCACAAGCACAGCAACAACCTTTGCCGCAATTTAAGCAGCAGGAACTGGAAAAACAAAGATATCACGAGCAGCGTCGTCAACAGGAGCTGCTGAAGCAACGCGACCATCAAAGGCAACACGAGCAACAGAGGCTTCAAGAGCATCAACGATTCTTGGAGCAACAGAGACACGTGGAGCAACAGAGGCTGTTCGAGCAACAGAGACAGCAGGAACAACAGCGACAACAGGATCATCAGAGGTTGCAGGAGCAACAAAGGGTACAAGAGCAACAGAGGATTCAAGAGCAACAGAGGATACAGGAACAACAGAGGATACAGGAACAGCAGAGGATACAGGAACAACAGAGGGTACAGGAACAGCAACAACAAAGGTTGCAGGATCAGCAGAGATTGCAGGAGCAGCAGAGATTACACGAACAACGTAGGAGGAAGCAGGAACAAGAACAGAAATTATTGCAAGAACAACAGTATCGCACGCAATTGAAATATAACCAAGCGCAACCGGTGCCAAATATACCTCAGGTACCAATTCTGCCACAAATTCAGAAACCTGGCGGAGAAATTTTCAAAGCTGTTCCTAAACTCGAACAACATTACGCAATTCGAGAAAATCCGCTTCATCCCGGCCCTTTCCCACCTAATCCCGTTATCCAGCCGACTGGATTCCCGGAAACGTCACAGAATCAATACGTCTCCGCTCAACCGCCAAGTTCGCCGCCAGAGATCTTGCGGAACCCAGGGGTTGATTTTGTAAACGATCAACAGCAACATATAAATACGAAGCAACAAATAGTGCAAAATCAGCAGCAAGGATTTTTCTCGCAAAATCTTCAACAGCCGCAGCAGCAACAGCCGCAACAGCAACAGCCACAACAGCAACAGCAACACCAACGTTTCCCCACGCTTCCTCAACGATCTTCGATCTGGGGACGCTTGCCGTTCGCAGGAAACAGCGCGAGTCCTTCTCAAAAGATCTATGCAACTCCAGTAAGTCCTGTGGAAGATTTCAACGCAATTTCAACAAACAGACCATTCATTTCGAGCACGACTACTACCACGACAACGACCACGACGACTACCGAAGCCCCAACGACAACCACGGCCATTTCTCCAAAGAAGGAGGCGAAAATTAAGGAAAATATCGCTAATCTGCCGGATGAGGTGCCGGATGATATCAGGGAGCAATTATTGAGTTCGGGTATTTTGGGTAATGCCGACATACAAATACTGGATTACGACAAGGTCGGCGACATACCGATAGAGAAACTACCGCCAGAGGCCCTGGCGAATTTCTATGGCGCCGGAGGCGGTTCCGCGGTAGCTGCCAGCGAACCGGTCCCGTCGATCGTCAAGAAACCCAAAACGGCAGAGAGCGCGTCTTCGTCGACCTCCTCTTCTTCCACTTCTTCAGCGGTTTTGACGAAGAAGGCGGCTGCTGGTAGCTCGACTAAGTTCGAGCAGGCTACCTTGCGGCCAGGTGGAGTGGAGATGAAAGTAGTACGCTTCGATCCGAATACGGAGCAAGGCCAGGCGCTAGCGGATCAGCACATACGTGATGATGCTACCAGGTTGAATCCCGTAACCGTGGGAACGAAAGACGAATCCCAATACAATCGTTACCTACCGCTCAAAGTGAGTGGTGCTTCCTTCCCTATACCGGACGTACCGCAACTTAATGGTCGGAAGATCTCTAGCGTGGTCGTATTGGCGCCCGTCGACTATAACTTTCAAGAAGAAAAGGAGATCGAATCGAGACAAGGCAGGAGGGTGAGCGATGTGCAAGCGGTAAAATTTCTCGCCGGCGACACTCTGAAGCAACTGGTGAAAAAACCAACCGCGGAGAACTACAAGAAGTGGTTGGAACAGGAGAGCCGTACGGAGCCGCAGAAACAGTCGGTGGTACTGCTGGTAACCATGTAAGTGGTAGACGCGAGTTTGATGCCATAACTAATCACGCTTACCTACCCGTTTGCCTTCGTTAACTCCGTCCACTCGCTTTAAACGACGCGTGCAATTATTCTTTAACGAGCCATATTCTCCGCCATCGCGATCTTCCATGAACGCTCCTTTTGATCCGCTTCCGCCAATGTTTCCCAGCAATAACGATCGTAATCGCCGAGCTTCACTTTCTTTCGGCTTTCAAGTGATCCCCGATGATGTTGCAGGCCAAAAGACGCGGAGCAAGGCGAGAAAGAGATCTTCATGTACGACGTGGTTTCGCAAACTGTGAGCAAACTGGCTGGCGACCTGTCTACAGCGTTTGTCGATGCTGCCGAAAGTAACTCCGACAATACCGACTCTTTTACCGATTCGTCTTTCCCATCGTATTAAGTGTAATACGAATGAATATACTATGGCGTACCGTACTAGGGATCTGCAATAAATGGAAAGAAACAAGGTTTAGCGTGCCAAGTCCGAAAATAACACATAAGATCTTCCATCGTCTCACATATCTTAAGATTACAACGAAACCGGAATAAGGTTTAAGAAAGGTAAAGGACATAAAATACAAATATCCTTGTAGATATTTTAATTATGTATTATTATGTATATATTGATTTTATACTTTTTTTATACAAAATAAACGCAATATTTTTTTTTTACGTGTAAATCGTTCGCTTCTTTACCTGACGTGAACTTCTGAAAACCCAAAGACACTGTTGATCGATTTTATTCAATTTTTATGCACTCCGTGCTGATTCAAATTTTATTGGAACTTGTAGCTACAATTACGAAGTTGTAATTAACTCGATTGAGTTCAAATTAATTTGTACCTTCGGAAGTTAGTCGCAACTCTAATTGTATCGAACAAGTGTAATTTAAATTTATCATGCTTAACAACGTTAACCTATCTACATCTGTAAAGTTAATGTGAACGAAGTTATCAGTAATCAATATACTTTTTATAATAATATCAACGAATTTATAGTGATATCGTGAAAAACAATTTGTTACGGTACCTTTTTATTAAGTGTCATATAGGATAATATTGTAATAATTAGCGTTAGAAATTAATGAAAAAGCGTATTAACATCGTTACAGCATCTAGGGCCAACAACCTAACATATGTATATTCCACTACAAAGTGATGAAAGGTTTACTTACTTTTAATTACACAAATTATATAATACATAAATTTTTAATAATTCAATTTAGAATTTTAGAATAAAATAAGTTTTAATTGCGTTATAATTTTTACGTCAACTAAATCTTTATAAAAATAAACGCAATAAATGTATAAGTATATACACGTATTTCATCATTTTAAGTTTGGTACGCGTGGTGACGTTTATGTTTCGTTTAGTGAAATTAAGTGAAGTGGTTGGTGTTTTAATAAAAAATTGAAATCGAAAACTTACTTTTATATCAATCGAAAAGCGTAAGCATATGAGGTATAACTTTTTATAATTATGTATTAACATGTTTTAATTATTTCAAACTCAGTGTTTACAATGAACTGTTTCGTTACTTGTATAGGTTACCTTGCTCTCATGTCGTTCCGTGTCAAGATGCTGAAAGGGTGATTTACGAAGATCCTATTGAAAAGCTTGCATTAATGAAAACGTAAAAATGTCCAGCAGTAGTTCTGAAAGTAGCGATGATAGCCGTCATGAAAAATCACAAAGAAGACGTAAACACAGACGCCCTAACCAAGACAGACGATCGAGCAGAAAGGAATCGAGCAGCAAGAATAAAAGTTACAGAGACCGGAGAGAAGGTAGGGACGTTCACAAATTTAGCAGAGAAGTAAGAAGAGAAAATAATGATGTGCATCGTGATAGATCACAAGGCGACCGGGATAGAGTATATAGAGATAGTCGACATGATCATCCAAGGAGGGAAGATGAAAGGCAATATGACAGAAGAAGATATGAGAGATCACCTCTAAGAAGAGAAGAATCTCGTCCAAGACATAGAGACTACGAAGAAAAAAATAAAAAACACAGAGAACCTATTGAGTATAATAGAAGACATGACAATGCGAATAAAGAAAGGAGAAATAATTTTGAAGATGCAAAACTAAGAAATGAAGCTTCGCCGGAATGGGGTAAACCTAATGTTAAGGCAGAATCAAAACCAAAGCCACAAGAAAAAGAGAAACCAAATTTTGAATTGTCTGGAAAACTAACAGAAGATACAAATACTATAAATGGCGTAGTCATTAAATACTCTGAACCTTCAGATGCCAGAAAACCTAAACGTAGATGGAGGTTATATCCATTCAAGGGAGAAAAAGCATTACCTACTTTATATGTCCATAGACAATCAGCATATTTAATGGGCAGAGATCGCAAAGTGGCAGATATTCCTTTGGACCATCCTTCATGTTCTAAACAACATGCCGTTTTACAATATCGCTTAGTATCTTTCCAAAAAGAAGGTGGTGGGGAAGGAAGAAGAATTCGTCCTTACCTTATAGATTTGGAATCTGCAAATGGTACATTTGTAAATAATGTAAAATTAGAACCAAGGAGATACCATGAATTATTAGAAAGGGATGTGATACGTTTTGGATTCAGCTCTAGGGAATATGTCTTGTTACATGAACATAGTAAAGATGATTCATTGGATGATGATGTTCCCTTAACTACTACAAGTACAACTACCATTGCTACTACTGCATAGGTAATGCTACATTTTATAATTTATAACATTTATTAAATTCTTTTCCAGGAGTTTAATTATCTATATATATATATTATATTCCAGGATTTTACTTGTAAAATAATTAAAAAAAAACTTCTAATATTTTAAGTACATTAATACAGTATAATGTTATCTATTAGAACACATTGTAAGTCTAGTTTATGATTGTCTTTAAGTTGTACTATGAACAAAATTAATTCGTTTCTTATATAGAGCATTTATGACAAGTACAATATTTGTTCTAATAATAATTCTAACTCATAACAAAGAAAAGAAAATGTCAGTACACAAGTTTTACATTTTATCTAATTAGGAACAAAAATTGATTGTAATAAGTCACTTTTGAAATACATTACAATTTATTCATTTACATTTAAATCTTTATTTACCCAAACTTAGACAATAGATTTTATATGATGTATGCAATTTTATAACAGTATTTGCATGTCAGTATAAACATGTATATATAAAATATACACAAAATTCATATAATAGTTATTTTCTTAGCAATATATTTTCTAATACAATATCAAAGGTATTTACAAAATTCGACATATTTTTACTTAAAAATGACAATGTTTGTAAGGAACTAACATTATATAGACAATATATGAAGGTATTTTGTTAAATAGGAAGACTACGAAATATTTTGTAAAAATTATTGGATTATTTCCTTTCTTTTTTTATTTAATAGCCAAATATACCATGATATTTACCAATGTTTTTACTTTTGTTTATACATTCTTTACCAATACAATATTTTATAAAACGTTTATCCGGTCTTTATTCTTATTGCTATCATCTTATATTTTGTCTATTAATTCTCTAGGATGGATACTTATAATATCGTTTTAATACTTTTATGGAAAAAATGAACGAAGTTAAAAAAATATCAAATTTACATTAACATATAATATTTACAAAGATCTTCGAATTTTATTTTTTCGTAAAGTAACAAAATGAAACTTGAAACCTCTCAATTCAGTCGTATGTTCAAAAAATTTATTCTTAATTGTACTGCTTTAAAAAGAATCTCTATATTTATATGTAAAACTTAACAAATCCATGTGTAATATGAATATCAATTTTCAGAATATGCCTCGTACTATCTCTAAGTATGAAATTTGTACAATGAATGGTGACAATTTAATCGTATTCTCGTGTCGTTAAATAAATACATTAATTGCAGTAACAGGTATAAAACTATCGCAGATTAATCACCATGTAATACTCTATAGCTATTCTCATTTCTTAGACGCTAAGCAACAATTTGATTACCCACTAAAACTAATACTATTATCAACTAAAAATGTCCTGCCACATGTCCAATGAATTTCGGGTATTAAAACTTAAATATGTACATACATTAATATGGCAGTTTAAAGCTATGGAACTTTACACACATCCTCAGTTTCGATACGCTTATTACTGAATTTACGATTCTGCTATAGAAACGTGACTTATCCAAAATGACTTAGTCCATTACCTCTGTAACAACAATTTCACGACCCATTTACCCTTACAGCATCCGTATTGATGTTCGTATACGTAACTATATTGTTACTGTCTTCGACAACCGGAGTTTGCCTCAATAAGTTCAATAATGCACTGTTTATCACCAAAGGTATATTAGCTTTACCATTTTGCAAATTAGAATGAGTCCTTTGAATTTTTGGCAATGCGTTCTTCGTGACGCCATTATCCGTTCCCTCGCCAGTTCCTCCGATAACGCTGTTCTTCAACGGAAGAACATTTTGCGAACTAATTAACGATGAACTAGGTCGAGTGGGTGGGGCTAAACTAATATTCGAGCTTAAAGAACTAGAACTTCTACCTTCTAAACTTATCTCAGATCCTCGTCGTTCGCTCACGTTTCTTTTATTCTTCCGTTGATCAGTCAATGACGTGAAGGAATCTCTCTTTAAAATCGCTTTAATAGTAGGATTAGTTAATTTCGAGCTATCTAACGTGTTACATTTTTCAGTCATGCTTGTGATCGATGCCCTCTTCCGTTCTGGCAAATTCAAACTGGATATCGACGACCTCTTATCACATTTCTTTTCCGATTGTTCCTTGGCATCGCTCGAACTGTCTTTTTGTTCTTGCGATGGATCGGAATGCAAATTACCCTTTACATCTACATTTGTACTAGCTTTGTTTATATTGGCTAAATTTTGATCAGAGATATGAATTGACCGAGGCACTTCGTAACCGTTTGTCGAGTTTTCCCTTAAAATAATATCCTCGTTATCCGCTAATAATTCTAAATATTTCGGTATCTCGCCCGACTGTGATGTAAGCGTCGCATTATGGGAATTCTGAAGGAACGGTTGCATATCCCGACTGCCTTCCGAACTGCTCGATTTCCATGAATTCCCTGAGAAAATCAGCCGATTGTAATTACATCCATTCTTGTGCAATCATTTTATTACGAGTCGAAGTGAGAAGAAAGGAAACATTGATCAAGAAAGCAGCGTACATAGATGATCTTCACAAAGAGAACCTACCTGAATTGTTATGATTTTGGTTCTCGTCAGCAAAGTAAGCCATGTTAGAGACGCCTGCAAGCATGAGCCATGCAATGATAAATATGTACTCAAGCAGATTTGTTAAATTTATATATTGAACACTCTTATGGTGATGCATCTTGCTGAGTTGAATTGCAATTATCGAACGTGATCACATTTGAAACAGAAATAATCGTTATATGACACGTGAACATAAATTGCAGTTTAGATACATACGTCCGTGTTCCAAATAATTCTATTAGTCGATAAAGCGGACACTAATTCGTCAATTTCAGAATCGAACTCTACTAAAGGGCTATGAAAATTGTATAAATACATGATCGAATACGAAAAGCAATAGAGCGACAGATTTTAGTCATAAATGAACGAAAATTTTTAGGCGAATACTTTTGTCATTTCCCAAATTACATTTCAATTCATAAAAACGTAACTTAATGCTTTTAGTTTCAGAAACATTTCAGCAATATGCTGGAGAAAAAGCAAAGTGAGAATATATCATGTAAATTTCTCTTATGAATTGAAATGATTCTGAGGGGCGAGACGGAAAATTTCAACACTGAATTATAAGAATCATACTAATAAGCGATATTTAAATTTTCCTAGCTAAGACGTGTTTGCTTGTTTGTCAATTAATATATCTGAAGAAACGTAGATTTGTGGTCCATGCCAGAGGTTCGCGTAATGCAAACCTCGATACGTGATCCAAACTTACCTCTTCTAGCTAAATAATGACCAGCGTGCACTGGGTTCAGTGGTGCATCCTCTATAGTACTTCGAAGACTAACTATATTTTCAAGGCAAACTTTAAAGCTTGGTCTGGCATCGGCAACGCTCCAACAACGCAACATAAGCTGATGTAAAGCAGGTGGACAATTCAGAGGTTTGGGTAACCTTCCACCGGCCCTTACGTGATGTAATACTTCGATATTTGTTCTGGCAGGATACGGCTGTTGTCCTAAGGACGTAATTTCCCACATTAATACACCAAACGCCCAGACATCGCTCTGCGAAGTAAATACACCATCCACTAAGGATTCGGGCGCCATCCAACGAACAGGAAGTAACCCTTCTCCTTCCTACAGCAAAAGATACAACGAAAAATTGAAAAATTCGCTTCTATTTCATGCACAAACTGTAAATTGCCTAATCAGACAACTACTGTACCTTTCGATAATAATCGTTCTTGTATATGTCTCTGGCGAGTCCGAAGTCACCGATTTTAACGACACGATTCTCCCGATCTCTGGCAGATACCAGACAATTCCTACACGCAAGATCTCTATGTACAAAATGGAGCTCCTCCAGGTAGCGACATCCTCTTGCTACATCCTCGCACATAGCAAGTAAATCTTGCAGGCGTAACGCGTGTGAATCCGATGGCTGCAAGGATCGGCTTGCCCTTAAATAACTCAGCAAATCTCCGGCTTCCATCAGTTCCAGCACTAATAATGGCGGATCCGTATCCAAGCAAACTCCCAGGAGTCTCAGTACGTGCTTGTGTCGAAAATGACTCATGAGTCTAGCCTCCTGAAGGAACTCTGTTTTTTCTTGAGCCGAGGCTCCTTTTCGAAGCGTTTTAATCGCAACTGGCGTGATTCCTGGCCTCTCCAAGTCCTTAGCGTTCCCTTGAAATACCTGAAATACATTTTCACGCACAGGGTAATGGAAATTTTAGTAATATGGTCTCACATGCTCGTAAAGTATCTCTGTTTGTATCGCTTACTTCTCCGAAGGCACCGCTACCCAGAAACTTGGCTAACGTTATCTGTTCCCTTCTGATTTTAGGAAGCGTCGAATCGTCTGGATCGTTTTGCAAGGTAGACGCATATAACGCGTTGGACTGAACGAAATTTCCGCGTGGTATCTCCCGAAGAGTCGCTAACTCGACATCACTCACTAACGGAGGTAAAACCGCCTTCTTATCTTCCTTGCGTTGCCGGTACACTGCTGAATTACAAAACTTATCTTTTATACTCCTATTAACTACATTTTAAGTGTACTTATTTAAACAAAATTTATTTCAAACGTTAAAAAAATATACTTTATTCATAAACATCATACACTTACGGCAAAGGAAATAACAGAAGCAAATGAGCATAATAGTGATAACAGGCACGCTAAGCCCCAACACTAAACCAAGGTGTTGTTGCGCCGCTAATATACCACCAGTAGCTTCCGTTAGATCAATGATCGGACTGGACCTGCTCCAGCCGCCAAACCCATACGCGTTCCTGGCCTGAACTCGAAACCGATACTTGTCGTCCATGTCTCCCGTGATTATCCAATAGTTGTCCGTCCCGTTGTAATACAACTTCCAACTCGCGTTCCCGGTCGAATCTATTTGCTCGTTAATTTCATTGATCTTCGTTCCTTCCACGCGGTACAGCGTGATTTGCGAGCCGTGAGCTTGTGCCGGCTCCCAGTTCAGCTGGTAGACGGAATTGCGAAGCTTAGTCGCTGTAGGCATTCCCGGAGCACTTGGCACATCACCTGTTTGGCAAACGGTTCGAGACGATAGGTAAACTTGCAAAGAACGAAGACCTAAACTTTAAAACTCTGAAGTTTCTTACCTAATGTCTGGAACGTGTACCCTCCGTCTGTTGGCCACACGAAATCCTTCTTGTAGTTCGGATACCTCAGAAGCAAATGGAACTTGTACAACGTTCGTGGTTGCAGTTTATCGATGAAGTATGTCACTTTCTCCTTGTCCACCTTAAAATCGTTCGCCACTTGCCAATTCTCCACGGCTACATCTTTGTACTCTAACGTGTACCTGACCATAGGGTTCACCGTTGGTACCCAGGATACGTTCAGACTGTTCACGCTGACTCTGTCTAGGGTCAGATTGTTAGGTTCCGGGTACATCTTGACTACCTGGCCAGGACTTTCGCTGTAAACATCGTTAACGTGAGCGGGATAAGCGCGAACGAACACCACGTACTCCTGATCAGGCAACCATGGTTCCAGCATGGTGAAGAATCTGCCGTCCGCTGTGCGCTCGTTACCCTTTATGAACTGTTCTCCCTTCTGTCGTGCTCCATTTATCAGTCGAAACAGCCTCCAATGCACCTCGTATCGTACTGCAGCGGCGTTCAATATTTTCGGAGGCATCCAATATACAATGGCCAAAGTCGGCGTCAGAGCTTCCACTGTTACGTTCTCTGGAGGCGTAGGGGCACCTGCTTCGGTTCTCAGTACAACCCCCGAACCGAACTCCAGACTCATTGACTCCAAGTCAGCGTAATAATTACTCAGAGCCAGTTTCAACCTGTATTTCGTGAACGGCTTCAGATCCTTTATCTCGTACTCCTTTTCGTAAGTCTGAAACTTTGTCCTGTCGCTATCTTCGCACATGTTAGGATCGTTCTCCAGACACTGCGACACGTATATCGTGTAGAGCGTCG